TCAATGTATTCTTCCTGTCCTCACATATGGCTCTCAGACATGGACGTTTACAAAGGAAAATTTGGAAAAAATAGCAAGGACAGAAAGATCCATGGAAAGACAAATGCTGAACATTAAACTATCAGACAAAAAAAGAAACGAATGGATCCGTAATAAAACAAAAGTGAAAGATGTCTCAACCCAAGTAGCAAAGCTTAAATGGAAGTTCGCCGGACACACCCTAAGGCAGAAAGATGAAAGATGGACTAAAACAATTATACATTGGAGACCATGGAATCACAAACGTAAAAGGGGAAGGCCACAAATGCGATGGTCAGATGACCTGAAGAAAACACGCCGGGTCAAAATGGATGCAAATTGCCCAAGATAGAGAGGCATGGAAGAAGGAGGAGGAGGCCTATATCCAAGGATGGATTTTAAGGGCTGTATAGATAGTATTTATTGCAGACCTAGTAGATCGTGCCTGTCAACTTCTTCGAGACCTTTAAGGCTCTTGTACACGAGGTAGCTTTAAAATTAATTTTTTCACAACACAATATATGACCAACCTTATTCTGGCCAAAAACATTTTGTAATGCAAAAATAAACAAGCAAAAAAAAAAAACAATTAACAAAGTTAAACAGAAGAATATGATTAACGTGGGCAGCTTAGGAAGAAATGAGAGAATTTTTAAGACCAGATATTCCCATATTCTTGAAGGGGTAGGTCTTCAATAAATATGTAATCCTAGCTCCAACGTATGCAGCAGAAAGATTGAACGTTATCAGAAAAGTAATCCATAAGATATAAGTGGCACAGGGAGCAATGGAGAGGTCAATGTTAAATATATCACATAGCGATAGAGTTTCAAATCAAAAAGTTACAACAAAAACTGTTGTTACGTACGCAGTTAGAAGAACTACAACTCTTAAATGGAATTATACAGAATACGTTGCCAAAGCCAGAGATGGAAGATGAACCAAAAAAATTTTAGAGTGAAGATCTAGACACGATGCTTATGGATGTCTGATCTTGGTGTCTTTGGTGTTAATTTCTAAACTCAATAGATCTATTCTAGCTGATATGTTGTTAAGTAAACGTTACAAGCCCTCCGAACTGTTTGCATATGAATATATGCGTGTATATGTAATCGGCATCTACTAAAGTATTTATCCATATTTTATTTCGTTTAATGCCATCTTCTGCACCTTCGAGTGCCTTTTGGAATCCTATCTCAAAGTACACTTTCCATCATATAAAACTGGTACACTTTTTTTTCCAATGTAAACCTGTGTTCAGAAATAAATTCGTTGTTGCCATTACAGACAACGGAATTGCACTAAATCTAAATAAAAAAAATAACGTTCAAAAATGTATAAAATTTTTAGATGGGTATTATTTTTATCATTACCAAAAAAAACTGAATCTAAGAAATTAAATAAGCAGAGATAGGGTTGCGTTATTATCCAAAAGGTTTGAAGAATCTTTTAATATAAGATTTTGGCACAGGAAACATTGGAATACATCTACTTACTATAATTTTATACTTCAATTACCTACCGAACTCGATCTGTATTATGTGACAATAGGTTTTGTAACAGGCAAACTACCAAGATTAATTTATTATTTATTATAAGAACCATAAAAAATGTGAAAAACTAACATTATACTTTATCCTACGTATTATATATACTAGAAAATATTCGGTGCGAAAAAACGGTTTTCAAAATGTAACAGTTACAGTCCAATATCTCATTGTAATGTTTTATTAAAAGAATTTGACGTTTGTCTAAATTGATTATCTGTCATAATTTTTGAATTGAAATATTTTCCTAAATTGGTGTAAAACACAAATAAATATATGGGTACTTAATTGAGATGATGGAAAATTACAAAATATCAAGATCAACATATACAACATAAAAAACATGATTTTTGATTATAAGAGATGTACCAGTTTTTTATGACGGGAACGGTACATGCAATAAAGGTGTACATGGGTCTCAACATAACGCCCTGAATGACCCTACGTTTAGTTAATACAGATTTTGTTTAGCTTATCGCTACTTGATATTTCTAGATGCACTAAACTATTTTTAGATTTTTTGAATTCGAATATGTTCTTTTCAAATTATTCATCATGCTGCTTTATCTAAAAGAGTCCAACGATTTTCTGTAATCTATGAAGCACAGATAAACTTGTTTTAAATGATCTCTATACTCCTTTATAAAAGTGATATTGCATACAAAGCTTTTTATAGTTACTAATACCTCTGGAAAATCCATCTTTAGCTTACTTAGGTCTTCTTTATCAGAATCTTCAAAATCAGAAAATCCATGCATTGTCAAAACGATATAAATTTGGAAACAAAAAATCCACAAATTAAATGTTCCTGTTCATCTTTACGTACTATCACCGCGACGAAGATTGGCAATCAGCATGGCTATTCTGATCTTAGATGCTACCAATCGGAATAGTTTGACTGATGTGCATCCGTACCATTCCATTAAGTAACGCAATCATGAGATTCTTTTCTTTGCTAAACTTCTCTTGGATTTTCCTTTGTATAATTAATTCAAGTATGTTGTATCTTTTATTATGCATAACATCCCTCAGGTATTGCAGCTTTTGTGTTTTGATGGTTTCCAATATTTCCATTCCATTCCATTTGTTGAGTCTTCACATGACTTCGTTGTTTGTTAGGTGCTAGCTCCATGATATCTTTAGGATTCTTCTACACATCCACAGTTCAAATGCTTCTTACTTTTTAGCAGTCGACGCGTTAAGTGTCCATGCTTCTATCCCATTAAGCAGAGTCCAGAAAATATAACACCTTGCCAGTCTAACTCTTTAATTTCAGTTCTTTTGCACAAAGTAACTTTCTCATTTTATTAAAGTTTGTTCGTGCTTTCTCTATTCGAACTTTGATTTGGAGTAATCGTTTGTGTGATTAATTATTGTGTTACGTTAATTATAGTTTTCAACTTGTTCTTAAGTTTTACCGGTAATTGTCAGGCTTTCATCATTATTTTAAATTTTTGATATCCTCATAAATTAATTTTTGTTGATGTTTATTGATAATTTATATTCTTCTTCCTATTCAACTATCTTGTGCATTAGTTTTTGGAGGTCTTGAATGTTGTCCGCATATCTAGTGTTGTTAATTTGTGTTCCATTGACCTTTATTCCTGCTGTTTTTTCCTCAAGAGCTTTTTTCATAATTTCTTCAGAGTATGCATTGAGTAGTAGTGGTGACACACCTCTGTCGCACTCCTCTTTTAATTTCGAACTCTTCTGATGTGTGTTTATTAATGCGTATATGTGCCTGCTGTTTATAATATAGATATCTTATAGTTCTAAGGTCATTGTATTGTAATTATTTTGAATTTAGGACGACCATTAGCTCTTTGTGGCTTAACTGAAAGCCTTATTGTAATCTATGGAACAGACCTGCATATCTTCTTTTACATCCAAGCATCTCTGAATTAGTGCGTTGAATGCAAAAAAGCTTCACGTGTACCTACACCTCTATGGAACCCAAATTGGGTTTCTTCAATATACATATCAATTAGTTGGTAAATGCGTTTATGGATGATTATTACAAACATTTTAAGTATGTAAGGCATTAGGTTTATGGTGCGGTGGTTAAAGCATTCTCTAGAATTTTTCTTTTCTTCGGAGGCAAATAAATGTTGAGGTCAACGATTCCTTGGATATGCCACCGACTGATAAATTTCATTAAAGACCTTTAAAAGGACATCCATGTACTTATTTTCTATTTTTTAAGGATATCAATAGACTGTTGATCTGGCCCTGAAATTTTTCGGTTTCTGGTATTCTTTAGTGCATGCCGTATTACTTTCTTTCTAATTTCTATACTTGTTCCTTTGTCCTCGAAAGATATATCTTGTAGGTTCTTTCTTTTGTCGCCAAAGAGCTCTTTTCTATATTTTTTTCATCGTTTTAGCGTTTCGTCAGTCGTCATTATAGTATTTCCATTTTTATTTAATAGAGAACTATGGTGATTTCTTTTTTGCAGCCCTTTCATTTCCTTAACCTTTTTATGTAGGTTTAATAGGTCGTATTTGTTCGAAAGATCTTCTATCTCTTTAAGTATTTTCTCATAGTAAGTTTGTTTTGCCTCTCGTATCATTTTTCTGAATTCGTTGTTAATGATTTTGTAATTGTAGCGATCTTTGTTCGTGGCTTGTCTCTTTTGGTCCATCCTGCCGAGTATTTCGTCAGTCATCTAGTTGTCTCTCTTTCTTATGGGTTCTACAATATTCTACAATTTTACTAAGGGTAAAGTCGATATATTTGGTCAGATTTGTCACTCAAAAACTGTATTACTTTATATAGACTCTCCTGACATCAACCCTTTTATATCGCGCCGTGTCCAAACATTGGACAACGGTTATATTCGAACTATTTTTTTTTAATTGGCGGATGTTCGGTCGAAAATCACACAAAGCATAGAGCAGAAAATAAATGTTTGCTAATAAAATTAAGGCAGTCTATTGGCGACTATTTTTGATTTCCTGACGAGGAAAAAACCGCGTAAAAACCGTTCACGTCGTTATGACTTTTACCCAAGATCTCGCTACCGGAGAGGATGTTATATTTGTGTTCATTTTGTAAAAAATGTATGCGCAGAACATCAGTTTATCATTTGCTAGGAATATAAATTTTAATTTTAGTTATCTTTATTCTTTTTTGTTTGATTCAGTATGTGATTTTTTAATTTGTTTATGTACCAAAAACGTGTATCTTATCTATTTTATCATTTTTTTTTTGTTTTCATAGTTTTCATTTGCTATAACTTATAAAATGTATACGGGACATATAATAGATTTTTCAAAAATTGAACTGAAATTGTAAATTTTTTTCAAGTTAGATTTTAAGCGATTTTTTTAATAAATTTTGAATAAAATTAAAATGCCTAACATCCGTTGATTTGGAGTATATGGAAATGTTAAACGACATTATTGGAAAAAAAAATTAAAAAAATCATTTATTTTTAGCGATAACTTCAAGTCATCAACTGTTTATTTATTTTTATCCTTTACAATTTAATGTCTTAATATTTATCTGTATTTATTTGTAATTCAATTTTCTAATGTCTTAATTACGTGGATTGATGTTTCATGATTGGGACGTCTTTTTCAATACACTTCAGTAATTGTATGGCAGCATCTTCGGCACTTCCTGGCTCTTTCACACTACATCTTTTGATCAACGCATCAAGTTTGTCCTGATCTGTCAAAACTCTCTGAGCTTTTGTTCTTAGTACATCCGCATCTATATCTCCATTTTCGTTCATAATATGCATCTTAGTAAACATGCAGAGCATGTGTTTGCCTACAAGAGCATCATTTACTTTTTCTTCTGTTTGAAGTTTATGAATAAGTTCATCTTCAAGTTTTGTTTTTGGATCAGCTGACATTGTCGGTGGGTTTCTACACGTTCGCCAGCCTTGACGGATATCTACAAAAGAACAACTAGTAAGAATACTTGTTTTATATTACATAGATTATTTAAAATGCGTACCATATTTGAAGGCTCAGCAGAGAACACAACAGAGATTATTAAATTAAAAGAACCTAATATATATAAATGACACGGTTAAAATTGCAGCAAGTCTTAAAAGGCCTACCCCAAAGGCCTTGCCTAAATGCGAGTGCTTTAATAATTTAATAAGATGTCAAAAAAAGAAGATCTCATATATATATATATATATATATATATATATATATATATATATATCTACATAAAATACTTGAAACTTTAAAATGTCTCCAAAATCACTGAGCATTGCTCCAGAGGGGCATCTGACAGTTTCCTTGTTGGCAGTAAAATAGACTTACACACTTAATTGTATGGAGTGTATCAGTCAACCAAAGTGTGTCTGCTAAAATTTATTAAAAATATATTTTTCAATAAAAAATTGTGACTACTTAAAATGGCGTAGTAACGAGAGCCGAGAATTATAGTTTTCAGGAAAAACAAATGGATTTAAATCAATTGGGTGATACAATTAGTTTACAATTTTAACAATTATGCAGTTAAAATGTCGTATAATATTCTCCAACTTAATTTTGATTAGAAGAGAATATTAGCCAAAAAACCCGGCAACTAATGCAGAAAAGAAGAAAAATGAGAAGCGAGACACAAACTAAAGCCGACGAACTACAAAAATTAAATAAAGAAATATCAAAAACTGTTGGACAAAATACTCCAAAATATAACTAAGAACCAATCAAATATACCATTGAAAACAATAGAAGAACGAAAGTGTTGAGAAAAAGACTATGAACGGGGACAAGGCAGATAATAAAGATTAAAGATAGAAATGATCATTTTACAACTAACAGAGAGAAAACCCTTAAAATAGCTGAAAACTTTTACAAATTGCTGTACATAAGGAAACAAAAAGCAAATAGCAAAGAAGATTAAGTACCAGAAATATTAACAAGAAAAAATCGCATTGTCAACCAAGGATCAGAAATATTACAGGAAATCACAATAGACAAAATAAAACTAGCCCTAAGAAATGCTAAGAATAACAAATCTGCAGGCGAAGATTGTGTAGTTACTGATGCAATTAAACTAGATGCTACTTAAGAAAATAAAAAAACTTTTTAACATGTGCCTTTTGGACATTATTATACTCGACAGATGGCACAATGCTGAGATAATTCTATTGTAAAAAAATGAGATCCCCATGAATGAGAAAACTACAGACCTATAAGTCTTCTTAATCACCTATACAATTTTCTTACAAGAATAGTAATGAATTGTCTTTAAAAAAACTTTATTTTCACAAACCAATAGAGCAAGCAAGATTTCGTACCGGATTTGGAACAACTGATCACCTATAGAGCCATAAAACGGTAATAGAACAGACTATTGAATACACGCAATCACTTGTTCTGGCTTTTGTAGATTTCCGTAAAGCCTTTGACACGGTAGAATTGACCAAAATCTTGGAAGCACTACAAGCATGCCGAATTGACAACGATATACAAGGTTAATTTACAATACATATAAGACCGCAACTATGTCGGTAAAACTATATAAAAACACGGATCATATCCCAATTGGCAGAGGAATCCAAGATGGTGATACCTGATCATCTAAACTGTTTGCCGCAGTACTAGAATATATTTTAAAAAACCTTAACTGGAAAGATAAAGGCCTGAACATTAAGATTAACAATTTTGAAATTCGCAGAAGACATAGTTTTCTCGGACAACCTCAAGGAGATAATGTACATGTACAATTTTACATAAACTTCAGTTCGTGTATGTCTTAAAATAAACATCTCCAAAACAAAATCCATGATAAACCTAGTACCTAGTGGAAATATCAATATTACTGACAACGAAGTATAGTTGGTGGAATATACGTATACCTTGAACACGAGATAAAGATCATAAGAGACAACCACACATGCGAACTACGAAAAAGAATAAATCTTTCATGAGCAACCTATGGAAATCTGAAGCACATCTTTAAAAGTGATATACCAACTTCTTTAAAATGTAAAACTTTTCGCCAATATGTGTTGCCTGGAATGACCAAAGCTGTTGAAACTTTGACATTGATAACTACAACTTCCAAAACGCTCAAATAGCTCAGATGAAAATGGAAAGGTCAATGTTGAATATATCGCTTTGTGACCGAGTTAGAAATAAAAACTTACTAAAAACGAGTAAAAAAGTTGAAGAGCAGGAGTACCGATGTAATTTTCCGAATTGCCACACTTAAAAGAAACTGGGTCGGACACGTCGCCGAATCAGTACGGAAAGGTGGCCCAAAAGATTGCTTGAGTGGAGGCCGAGGTTAGACAAAATAAGTAGAGAAAGACCTTCTACTCGTTGGACTGACTATCTCAAGAAAATGTCAAAAAATTGGATGAAAAGTGCTCAAGATGGAGCACAATGGACAAAAATTAGGGATGCTTATGTCCAGTAGTGAACGCAAAGAGCGTGACAATGAGGAAAATGAACTTTGATTATCATGATGTTTGATATATCAGTAGTTACTATTATTTATTCAAATTGAATGTACTACGTTTATTAAGAATATTAAAAAATTTTGCTATAAAATAGTTTAGTAAATGGCTTATTCCAAATAAAAATAGTTAAATTTATTAAGATGTTCTAACATCACATATGTTTGTTCAGATAATGATTTTATTTCAAACATTTTGATTTTATTCCTTTAATAACTTACTCGTTGATTTAATTATTTTTTTTCTTAAAATAGTTGGCGCTCCTCTATCAAATTTCTATTTACCAAATATTATCATGTCAGTTTTAGTTCAATAGAAAGGGCAAATGATTTATTACATGAATGTAATTCATGTCTAAATTTTTGTCGTTAATTCTTTCTCTGTGGTAAGTAAAGTTATTTATAATTAATATTTTATCAATATCCAATGCTGTTTTTTTGGTAATTTATAAAGTCGTTTTTTAAACCGTAACCTTAACACCATGTGTTTCTTTAAAAATTTTTAATTGTTTATATGCAGCTAGAATTTTTTAATCAGTTTAACTAATTTATTTGAATAGTAAATACAGTTATTTAATTATCCTTGTTATCAGTTATGTTCTCTCAAAAAACTGTTTTTTTTGTCAAGGAAATTTAAAACGTATGTAGTACTCAAGTAAGTACAAAAGTCAAGATTCATTATTTTGATATTTTAAACTAATTAAATTTTAAAATCCGTAAAATAGTTTCGAAACACAATTCACATTTCTGCTTATAATCTGAACCTTCTAAAAATTGCAAGGCAAACAGACGTTGATAAAAGATGTTAAAAGGGACATAGGGAATCTAAAATTTGCATTCCACGACATGTCTTTTACAACTAAGCAGAAATCCTTAGCGAATTGTGCTTCTAGTACTCACACAGAGTAAATCCGAATAAAATGAACAAAGGCAGCAAATGTTTGATTTCATGCAAACAAATCCTATGTATCTGTTGATACGTATTTCGACCTAATAGGTCTCATCAGAACAGCTATTCATAGGAGCAAACATGCAAGGCAAACAGACGTTGATAAAAGATGTTAAATATAATATATAGATAAAATTTCATTTTATTCGGATTTACTCTGTGTGAGTACTAGAAGCACAATTCGCTAAGGATTTCTGCTTAGTTGTAAAAGACATGTCGTGGAATGCAAATTTTAGATTCCCCATGTCCCTTTTAACATCTTTTATCGACGTCTGTTTGCCTTGCAATTTTTAGAAGGCTCAGATTATAAGCAGAAATCTGAATTGTTTCGAAACTATTTTACGGATTTTATAGGTAGGCAATTAAAAAGGCAGAAAATATTGATTTTTCACGTTGAGAACTCCTATGAATAGCTGTTTTGATAAGACGTATTAGGTCGAAATACGTATCAACAGATACATAGGATTTGTTTGCGTGAAATCAAATATTTGCTGTCTTTTTTCATTTTAATTAAATTTTCTTATTCCCCTTGTTGGGTTGCAATTCCTGAAGCCTTGTGATGTACCACACATAGGATGGAATATATCATTAGAACTTAATAGCTGCTTGTAACTACAACGGATTAGGTCCACAACATCTTCACCAACTCATTCAGATACAATCCGTCCAACTAGCAGTACAAGCCATTAACAAGTTATCAAGTATTCTGCATAAAACTAATAGTTCCATTCTTATTATTTTAACATTTATGTGTAAAGTTGTAGACACGGTTTGTTTTTAGTTATTATTAAAATTTAAATTTTATTTTTTTTTGTACAATAAATATGATTCGATCTTGGTTTATTTATCCCAGCCTAACTCATTTTTTAGATTTACATTTAAGATAAGTCTAAGACGCAGCCTAACAATTGGTTCTCACAAAAGTTGTGAGTTTAATTGTTGCACATTGACTCTCAATTTTTAAAAGTAGTTATATTATTATGAGTTAAAACCCGATGTTTCTGATGAGTCATTCAATGTTTTAAATGCCAGAAGAAAAAGCTTTAAAACAATACTCAAATTAAATATTGCAGCATCCTCTCCTAGAGCTATCGATACTAGCTAGTAAATTATATTAGAAGAAGATTAGAAGTATATATGTCAAAAGATAGACATAAAGAAGGGTCTTAAGGAAAACAATCTACTAGATATAAAACTTAATAGTAATCAAGATAAAAGCAATATATGATACGAACTTACCAAGAAAATTTTTAAAAAACAATGCAAAAACAAATAAAATGTACAAAAATCCATTTTGATAAAAAGGTATATAAGGCAAGTGAAAAACTAAGAAGTAATCTTTACAAAATGCATTGTATAAAAGTAAAAAATAGCGAAAAATATGTTAACAAAAATTGTTATTTTCCAAGTTTGTGTCCTACTGAGATTTATTCATTATTTCGTAATAAGGCCAACTGGAATGACTGTGACATAAAAGTATAGAAGAGAATAATGATAAGGAGCGACATAAAAGTGGGCTAAT